TGTTCCTAAGAGAGGGTAATACAGTAAACGAATATTTTTACTAACTATTAATTTAAAAATAAAATGAGAGATGGGAATTAGGTTTCGTAACAGCTGGGCAAGCTGCTGTGCTACACTTTGTCTCCATTACCACCGAGTCGTAAAACAGAAAAGAGGAAAGAGGCGGAAGAAATCGCAGGTGCGTGCCGCCGAGAGTCAAAGCGAAAGCGAAACCGCACGCAGAACGTAAGGCCGAAGAGAGGGTTCTACTATCTGCTATCCTCATTCCATAATCACAAACCCTAACTCATTTTTTTTTCTTTTAATCTCATTTTCTAGGTTCTTTAATTTTTATTTTTTGAATCAATTTTCGTCGATAATCTTCACTGTGTTGTTAATTTATCCGTGGATTTACTTATCTACGTTTATGCTTATACACTGATCATTCATCTGTCTGTCTCTCTGAAACTGCAAACCCTAATCGGCAATGGTTACCACCACCGTTGATTCATCCTCTAATCATCACACACCTTCTGGTGCTGCCGATACCTATAACTTCCCGCGAAAAAATCTGCCATCTCCGTGGGCCCAGGTGGTTCGCGGTGCCGATTCTGAACCTAACCATCAATCACCGCCTTCTTCTTCCTCTTCATCTTCCCTCGATTCTGTTAATTCTAGCGGTCCTGCAGCTGATGCCGTTGATGCCGCCGTGAAACCTGTGTGGAAGAGACCGTCCAATGACGTCGCGGAAATTGGGCCTGTAATGGGCGCAATCTCTTGGCCCGCTTTATCCGAGTCCACCAAGCCCACTCCTAAATTGATATCTGACTCCATCGACGATGAATCACTCACCCCTCCTAAGGTTCGTTACTTTATCAAAACCTAGTTCTTTGTTTGGTTTATATACACTTGAGGTTCTATTAATTTGACGGAAGAAACAAATAGAATTGTTGATATTGGTAGTTTAGGTTCGCATTGTGGTAATGTAGTTTCTCAGATGTAGGCACTGTAACCAGTTAATGCTTTTTTAGGAAGGACGCGTTTTTACTGAACATAGTTGTCTCTTTTCAGGGTCCTGTTGTTTCAGACTCTCCTCAGAAACAAGCTTCTGATAATGTGAAACCTAGTCCTGCAATAAACCATGGTTTGGGTAATAGGCAAAGGTCAATGAAGCGTGGAGGGGCAAATGGCAATAATGTTGGCTATGGTCCTGTTCAGAACAACTTCTCTGGCGCTTCTCCTCATTTTCCTCCTCCACCACCACCCTTTCCCGTGCTTCAGATTCCTCCAAATTCATTTGCACATGGATTACCCGGGGTTCCAGTTCCTTCTCCGAGAGAACCTTACAGGAACAAAAACTGGGATACGAGGCCTCCGATTGGAGGGTTTATCCCGTCAATGAATGAGAATCGGAGTCCCTCTCGCCGGGGTAATGCTGGACATCATCCACGTGGAGATGGATCCTATCACAACAGTTATGGCAACAGGCGTGATCAGGATCGTGGAGGTTATGCAAATACCAGAGATACTCATGTAAATCATCAGAGGATGCCTCCAAGGGGATTAATGAGGCCTCCGCCGCCAAATCCTGCTTCATTTATGGGGCCTCAGCCTATGCGACCCTTTGCAAACCCTCCCGGGTTTCCTGGTCAGTTTTTTTTTTTCTTTTATTTGATTATATTAGTACAACAAAACAAACCTAATGCATCATCTCTTCCTTTATAGAATTCTATTATTTCCCAACACTACAATTTGAACCCTTTGGGGGCATGCCGTTTTTAACACATGCACCTCCTCCTGCAATGTTCTTCCCGGTTGCCGAAACCCCTCTCGCCAGTACAATAGTCAACCAAATTGATTATTATTTTAGGTAATTTTTCTGTTCTTGTTATTTACTGTTTTGTTTCCCAACAAATCCTTGCTGCTGAGTTTTATCTTCATTGCTGTTTTTGTTTATGCAGTGATGCTAATTTAGTGAGGGATGAGTATTTAAGGTCCAACATGGATGAACAAGGATGGGTTCCTATTTCTTTGATTGCAAGCTTCCCACGTGTAAGTTGATCATTCTTGATCAAGTAATATTTTGAACATACTTTAGTGCTAGCTCTTGGTACGTGATAGAATGTATGATACATATGCTTAAACCACAGTTTCGTATTTTTTATGATCTTAATAATATGGTTCAATGTTTTATACACAACCTAAATAATCTCTGTTATGGATTTTCTTGATAGATTGTTTTTACCTTTTAAGGAAATTTTGGCTTTCATGGTTTATGGTAATGTTTGTTACCCTAGGAGCACTTTTGGCAATTGAAAACAGAATAATGGACATGAAAAAGTGGATTTACGTGTTGCTTACACTAAAGCAATCTGTTTTTATCATGTCCAAATTTACTAGCTTTTTGTTTGGTAAATTTGGCTTTCATACTATGCTGCTCTTTAATACCTTGTTGACTATGCTCTGAGATCTACATCTCACAAGTGAAGATCCACCTGCAGTGGGGTTAAATATTTTTTTCAATAATCAACATTGTCAGTGCAACCTGTTGCTACAAATTGTGGCGGTTTACTTGAAATCATACTGAACATGCACAGTTCATCTCTATTAATGATGGAAAGGAACTGGTAATGACTGGTTTTGAATTTCTAAAAGCTCTGAATAATGTTTTGAAATTTGTTTATTGATGAATAGTTTATTTGGTTTTTATTATTGGTGTCAATTTTATTGCTCTTTTCCAGAAATTTTCATTGTCAGCATATACAATGCTATGTAGATGACAGTGCGTCGAAGTTAGATGTTATTAATGCAGCTTTGAAACTTCGTGCATTCATTGTTGTGTAGTATATATCTAATTGAAAAAGCCTGCATTTAGCTTTCAGCTGTCGTTGTTTCTTTGATTGAATGGATGTTCGGTGGGACAAAATTGTTGTTTGATTTTATTGAGTGGGATAATTATTTGTTTAGAGCTATATTATGAGATCGACAGAGATTAAATTTAGATTATGATTACGGTGGGATGAAAATTGTCTCGCAGTTTTCTTTTTTTAGAAACTAAATCCCATCTGGAAGCATATAGATGTCGTCTCGCGTTTTTAATAGTACTGATAGAAATGAAAAATGTTCCTTTTCTTTGTGGAATAGATTTGATACAGTAGAACTGAAAAATGCTTTGACCACCTAGACTTACAGCTATGCTTGCGAAAGTTTCATGATCTCACAAACAGCTGTGGGCTTGAATGGTTTGTTGGAGTACTATTTGCTCACTTATGCCCTTAAGCCAACCTCCGCTTCCTGCCCCGTTGGTCTGTGTCATTCTTAGGAATCTCACACGTTTATTAGTTTTCACTAATGGTAATTTATGATATTAGTCTATTGTTTGATTGGAAGTTTCCATAGAGTAGGTCAAGTCTACAGCTCAATTCAAAAGCCAATTAAAGAGAGGGAGAGTTATCTCTGTTTATTCTTACAACTCATGTCAGTGTATATATGTGCTCACAAACATACATAATGAGGTTTTAGCTTTGGTGAACTTGCACAGATTTTCTAGTTCTAAGATTTATCTATATGTTGTGGAGTAATAGCATCAAGCTGTCATGAATGATAGGTATCCTAAGGTTTTTATTGGTCTAAATAGATATTATCTTTTGCGCAGGTTAGAAGTTTGACAAGCAACATTAAGTTGATACTGGAATCGTTGAGAGCTTCCACTGTCGTCGAAGTGCAGGTGAGTTCTGATTTTATTTTATGGTGTCACTCCTTCAGCTTTCACTGAAAACACTTTCTACGCACGTCATTTCTGTTCATTTCCATATTAGCATTTGTTATTTCTGCCCTTCCAATTTGCTGTAGGCTGACAAGTGCAGTAGGGTTAGTGAATGGACCAAGTGACTTGCTTTACTTAAAGCTTATTGAATTTGTTTTGTTTTTAATGTTATTTTTGCCCTTAAAATTTGCTGTAGGGTGACAAGTTGAGGAGGCGTAATGAGTGGACCAAGTGACGTACCTCTACTAAACTTTGAACCAACTCTGGTTCAATGTCCCCCATCATATCCAGTTCTAATAACCTAGCATTTGAAAAGATTACAGTAGATGAAGCTATTACAGGTAAAGTTAATGTTGAGCCTACCGCAAATGATGATTATGGAGATTCCCTTACTCAGTTCAAAAGTCCCAAATGGCGATGAGCATCAATTATAAACTACGCTCAGTTTATCCACCCCATCCCAAAATACTGGGCCAATTCTATTTCTGGCCCAGTGTGACTCTTTATTTTGAAAGGGTTTTTTTTAGAGGGATGATAGTGTAGGTTGTTTGGAAGTTTGATTCCTTTTCTACAGTGACAGGTAGATTTTGGTAGCAAGTGAATGAAACAGGGAGAGAAATATGAATTCTTCGGAATTATTATTATGGTCTTAAGAGAAGAAAAGAAAGTTAATGGGACAAGAAATCAAGAATTTTGATGGAGGTAACTTGAACGAATTTTTTATTTCGGTTTGTACAACTTTAAATTTGTTGCGGCTGAATTATTTTTTATTTTCTGGTGGTATATGTGGGTATTTATGTTTTTTAATGAATTGAACTGAGTTGACTTGAAATCGTGCTATTATGTTGCCCTTATGTAATTGATGTTTGTTCTGCCTCTTATATGCTCGCGCAAATGGGTGATAATTTTTTGTATGTTTGCCTTTTCACGCACTATTAGTGTTTGTCATTTCTTTATAGTTTTCTCATGAACTTTGATGTAAATATTTTTCGTAGGAGAAATTGAACTTTATGTTGGGGTTGTTGCTAGATAAAGTTTACAATTATTTTTTGTATTTTTGAAACATGTATTTTTTTTAATAAAGTAACATCTTTTACAATATAAAACTATGCTTTTGGTATATATGTTATGTATATATGATGACGCAGAATTATGCTATTATGTGAATGTAAATTGTCTTATAAAATAGAGACAATTTCTTATAATAACATTGTTTAATGCTAAAAGATAAGTTGCTATATAACAGTAAACTTTATAATTTTGTTATATTTGTGTCATTTTGATATCAGTAAAAATATAAACGATTTTGAATTTTTATTTTAAAACTCGAAAGCATGTAAATATCAATGAAAATAATGGAGTATAATTTATTTGCAAAGGTCTTATAGCACATTTAAAACCTTAACGAAGGTGAAATTGTGAAATGTATTAACTTTTAAGTTTAGAACAATATTCTGAGACCGGGAAAATCATTATTCATGCTGTGAAATCAAATATTTTATCTACCACGTCACCTTTTTTTTTTCATGCCAATCTTGAAATAGATGCTGTTTAATATCACACACACACACACACACATATATATATATATATATATATATATATATATATGTAGATACTTAAAATCAAGCTATTTTAAACTATCAATTTGGTTAATATAATAACTTATTAAATTAAAAATGCTTCATTTTTCTTTAACGTCCTGGTTTCATTTGCATATGTTTATGAATTAGAAAACATGAATGTATTATCATTAGTTTTATTATTTTGTAATATATAATCGTTCAAGCATTGATTTAGGCTTAACATGTCAAATTGATGTACATTGTTTATTATTAAATTAGAAGTAATATTAAAGTCATAACAAATATAAAAACTAAATCACGATTGAATAAAATTGAACTGCAAAATGATTAAGTTCATATATGATATCATATTCATATTAAAATCTGGTTTAACCCCTCCCTGGTCTCAAGTTTGTATGAAAATCTTAGTTGGGTCCTAAGTTTTTCTTCTGTCTCAATTGGGTCATGATTTTTTGTAAAAGTGAGCACATTGTACCATAACCTTAATGGTGTGAGACGGCGTTAATTGGTGTGAGCTGGATTTTTTCATTTCTGAATGGCATTGTGCACTAAAATTGAAAGGCACGTGGTGATGTTTTGGTCACAGATCTTCTCCTCCCACCCCTCTGCCTTCCTTCAGTTGCAGATACACATTTATAAAAATCAGAACTTTTGGACGAATCTGGATGTGGGGTTTCCCCTTTCAGTGAAGAACATTGGATGCAGGTAGAACGTGCTGGGTTTTTTGGAACTTGATGGGGAGACATGCCACTGCTACAAATACCCCCCCGGGGGTGGAAGGAGAGATGATGGTCCGGAGGAGAGAGGTCCCTTGTCGAAAGCTAAGAGCAAGAGTTTGAATTTTCCTCTAGCCAGGCAATGAAGAACACTGTGGTTGCCACGAAGTGCACCGAAGAACGACTCAGAGGAAGAGCACATGAATAAAAACCCGACGATCGGAAGAAAAAGGAAGAGTCGTATTTTCCTGTAGAAACAAGCTTTCGGATCCATAACAGACATAAATAGACACAATGAGACCAACCTTCACCCTTCATGAGATTTCAAATCTCACCCTCCATGACTACAAGTAAAGATGAAGAAACCAGATTCTGATATTATCTTCTCCAAAATCCGAACTCTGAAACGAAACAGAGAAATTTTCAGCTTGTGAGGCTTCAGAGGAATTTTGGTCTTCTTTCTGAGTTTTGAATCGCGCAAAACAATGCCGCAATGGATGTCGTACATAGAGTTTTTTTGATCTGTGACCTTTTTGTTGCAACCATCAGAGAAAAGTGTAATGATTTTTTGCGAGCACTTCAGCTTTAAGCTTTAAGCAAAGTGTAGATACTCCTACATAAGCACTAACCACAATTATTTTTGGGTTTCTTCAAAATTTTATAGAGATGAAAGGGAAGAAGATAGGGGGCAGAGAGAAATTGATGGTGATAGGCTTGGGTTGAAGATGAAGAGAATGAGCAAGCAGGAGCAATGGAAAGCAACACTTTCATTCAGGCACATAGGGCATGGCTTCCCAAGCTTTTGATGTTGTGGATCCTTCGTCAGGCTCCTATATGGTTGGTGCACTCTATACTAAAATGGATGCTGACACTAAAGTCAAGAAATACAGAGGTGTCTCGGTAGCCTCTTGATCAAAGGGCAAAGAATGCGCAAGATCAATTCAGTGTTAGTGTCAACCATGTCCATGCCCTTGCCATCCTTGTTTCAACCTTCCATTACTACAGAACACTTCTGCAATTGACCAGGTTTGTGTTTGATCTTTCATTGTGCTCTGTGCTTAGAACTAATTATGATAGAACCAGAGCAGCTGGGTGGCGCGATGGAAGGAAGCAGAGGGGAGGGAGGAGGAAGATCTGTGACAAAACATCACCACGTGGCCTTTCAATTTTAGTGCACAATGTCACGTCCAGTAATGAAAAAATCCAGGCTCAACTAATTTAAACGCGTCTCACACCACTTAACGGGTTATGGTACAATGTGCTCACTTTTACAAAAAATATGACCCAATTGAGACAGAAACAAACTTGAGGACCCAACTGAGATTTTTTCATACAAACTTGAGGACCAGGGAGGGTTTAAACCTAAAATCTTTGTTTATGACATTAGAGCAAAATGGTTTAAGTTATAAATGAAAACAAACAATCCTTTGTACGGTGATTGCAGGATTAGAATCCACATTGCTTGCCTTTTTAAATGTACAAATGAAAATGCAAAGTGGAAAAAGGTGTGCGATAAAGCTGAAAACACGACTTTTCGTAAATTAACCACAAGTAGCCATATGCTCAGAATATTAAAATGACATTTGTGGAATATTTTAGAATATATTATCAATCACTTGTACTCAACAATTCCAAAGCGTTTCAGGTGTAGTGCATTCACACGTAAGATGATAGGTTCGCTATGTCGTCGACTAATAACTAGCTAAAATATCTGAGCGAAAACAAGTAAAATTCACAGTAATGTTTTAATATAAATTAAACTAATGCTCATAATTTATGCAATAACATTTATAAATAACTTTATACATACATATGTCAATAAATAAATGTCTCTCTATACTACTAAACAGTGACTTTTATCTCTGAATTTATCAAACGCTGTGACATATGCAAAATATTAATCAACTATTAAAAAAATTGTGAATAAAGTGATCACTTTCACATACAGTTGACAACTTGATGTCAATTTCATCCTATACATTTAATAGTTTTTTCATTTTATATATTTACTGGATAATGTTTATCACTTCATATTTGGTTCTGACGAAAGAAACCAATTAAAATAAAATAATAAGATTGACTGTTTAATTGGTCGGAAGAATACAAATATACGAGAAATAAAGATAAAATATTTCGAAAATCATATTTATTTGTTAAGAGCAGCTAAGTGAATTAAAATAATTTTCTTAAAAAATCAGGATTTGATTGTGTATTTTATTAAAAATAGAAGATAAAATTAAATAAAATATATAAATAGTGAAACTTAGAGCATATTTCTAGTTTTGTTCTTCGGTTAATATTTTCAAATCTTTCCAGACAAACACAGTCAAGAAAATGAAATATCTTGGTTATGAAGATAGAGAGAGTAAAATCATTATTGGTTATTATAGTAAAAGACAAGAATAAATAAAAGATAAGGAATCAATTTAATTGTTCAAAGTTATATGTCAAGTGTCATTACATCTTATTTCTTCAAAAATTAAGTTACTAAATGAGTGAGTTAAATTCTTTTATCCCCTTTTAAGCTTCTGAAAATTCTAATCAAAATAGTTTTTAAAACTCTTTTACCACTTGAATACTTTATTTTAGAGTTTTTGAAAATTTTCCTAATTTGATGACAAAAACACTTTAAAAATACTAATGTCCCTTCTATTCCTTTCTATATGTACTTTTTCTTACTAAATATTTACTTATTATTAAATTTTAAAATAGTGTTACCTTTTCCTAATTATTTCTTACTTTATTCTTGACAATAAAAAGGAAAAATTATAATAATACATTAATATACATCGAAATAAATAAAAAATAGCTAACTTTTGAAAACCTTAAAGTACTATTATAGATAATTTATTTAAGGATTTAATGTACAGGCAATGGAATTTAAAGGATATAATTAATAAATTGTTTATTATAAAAACAACTGCTCTTGTGTTCTATGACTACGGAACAATTAAGGTTTGAATAAAATATTGGATGTATTAAGAGATTAATAAATTTTATAATCCTTGCAACTTGTTCAAACCACCTTATCTCACCCATCCCATCCCATCCCTACCAGAATGTGCAAAAGAATCAAGTTGATATAACAAAATTAGTCTAAAGAAACTTTCAATAATCATATTTTTATAAAAAGGAAAATTGTACTAACGTAACTTTTGCCTTAAAAGGACTTGCTTCAGATTTTTTTTAAGCGCATCAAATTCATCAGGCTATTGTAGATGAAGAAAAGAATTTATTAAAATAGTTAATTATATTTTTTGTATAAGTTAATAATTAATAAAATTAGTGGACATGTTGTTCTTTTAATATAGTGAAAAAAATTCATTTGTTTAAATATAAAGGGGTGGATTATAAAGAATTACGGGTCATTATAATTTTCTGGTTTAAGATAAAGATTTAGTCTTTGCTGGTTAAATTGTTTGGAGTTGGAAGACTACGTAATATCTTAAATATTTATTATTGATCTTTAATATGTATTTTTGAAGTAGAATGAAGTTGAAGGTATTTCTATTATAAGTTATACTCGTTCATATTGGTTAAGACCCATATGTTG